ACACGTCCACACGCAGTGATCGCGCACAGGCACGAACGTGAGTCGAATGCACAACGACCCAAAGTGCTGAAGGTATGTTCTACACTTGCCCGCTACCCATGTGCCCATTCCAATACACACACACTCCCTCTCTCACACAGGCACACACACACACACGGGCACACATAGGCACACAGGCACAGACCTCTGCAGTTGCGCGCATGTCACCGGTGATCATCATCACAATGACGCCACTCCGCTGCAGCGTCGCCACGGCCTCCCTGTGCCAGGCGGTGTCAGGCAGCACAGTGGGAAAGACGTGTTGTGAGAGACACGAAACAAGGGATGCGACACACAAACGAACACAAACACACACGGACGTGCGTGAGAACATCTGTAGGACTACGGTTCAAGAATGCATGTAAGCACGTGCACTGACTTGACGCCCTCGCGTGGCTGATCTGCAATTGCGACAAGGCCTGGTGTGAAGATAAACACATCGGTGGCGGTGTTGGTGATGGCGGCGGCAGTAATCGTGGTGAGTAGTGGCGAAAGGGTTGCAAACAAGGAGCAACAGCGGCCATCACACATTGGGCACACAGCCACACACATGGCCACACGCACACACACACACACACACACACACACACACACACACACACACACACACACACACACACACACACACACACACACACACACACACAAACACACACACAAGCGCGCCATTACCTCTGTCGGCTGGCCAATGAGGGTGCCATCGGTGTGCACTTCAGCGTTGTTGCACAGCACCGCGGCCTCAATCACAGACGCAAACGGCGCAACCGCGGCGCCCTCGACAGCTGATGACGCTGTTTTCACCGCTGCTGCTGCTGCTGATGACGATGGCGATGGTGCAGATGCCGGTGCAGTGGCGGTGGGTGTGATGGTGATCATGGGCAGTGTACTTGTGTTCGCGGTGGCAGCAGCTGCTGCTGCAACGGTTGTTGCTGCTGGCGTGTTGATGGACACGGGCCGGTCACCCAGCATCACCCGTCCGCTGAACTGGTACCCACTCCCCGTCACCTGCACACACGCGGGGAGGAAGGGATGTTGGTGGTGGTGGTGGTGGTGGTGGTGGTGGTGTGAGGAAGAGGAAAGATCACAGCCTGGAACGTGCAGTGCAGATACATGGCCTCCTGCTCTGATATCATGCACTCACACACACCCACACACACATACACACACACCATCTTTGCCGCACCTGCGCGTGAATGTCGTGTGCAGCATCGTACACGACCTTGGCTACCATCTTGTTCGCCGTCAGCGTTCCCGTCTTGTCAGAGCACACCACAGACGCAGACCCAAGCGCCTCAACAGCTGTATGTTGTGTGTGTGTGTGTGTATGTTGTGTGTGTGTGTGTGTGTGTGTGTGTGTGTGTGTGTGTGTGGACAGCGTTGGGCATTCATGAGCGCTTTCAATGAAGATGGCAGTAATGTCGTGCCTCGAGCGCACTCCACGTGCTGCTCGTAGTGCATCAAGCACCATACAGAGGCAACAACGATATGTACAGCCCTCTCCACCGCCACATGACATGCACACATGCACACATGAAGGTGAACATGAACGTGAACATGGATGTGAACATGAACGTAAACATGAACGTGAACATGGATGTGTACCTGGAAGACGTTTGACGATTGCGTGTTTGCTGGCCATGCGATGAACACCGAGCGCCAGCGTCACTGTTACCACAATGGGCAGCCCCTCCGGAATCGCAGCCACCGCACTAATGTGAAGAGAAACACAAAGATGTCATACAAACATGCGCACGCACATACACACACACACACACACACACAAAAACACACACGCACACGTGTCACACGAATGAAGGGAATTGGTGAGGGGTTTGCTGCAGATGAAACATGAAGGGGAAGGCAGCGGTGGAAGTGCACAGGCAAAGGCGCAGCATCGCATCAGGTGCCATCACGTCATGCGAGCACAACACTGACAGTGAAACGGCGATGGTGAAGAGGTTCACGATGTTTCGTCCTTGCAGCAGCCCGACAACAACGATAAACGCAATGATGCCAAAGGACATGAAGGACAGCTTGGTGCCCAGCTCCTCCATGTTTTCTTGCAGAGGCGTCTTGCCTTGCTCGACAGACTGCAAGAGTGCGCATGGAACACCAAGCACGCGTTCATGAGAAGCGTAGACATTGATGTAGAACACGCATACGCACAATCACGCACGTTTGCACGCACGCACACGCGCATGAACACGACACACACACACACACACACAATGGCGCACGTTGCGCATGCACACGCACACACACACACACACACACACATACACACACACACGCGCAGCACATGTTGCGTGTGTCATTGCTGCTCACCTCGACCATGCCAAAGACGAGACCAAACTCCGTGTGTGCACCGGTTGCTGTGACGACACCGACAGCGCGGCCACCACGCACCATCGTCCCCATAAACGCCATGTTCGTCCTGGTGGTGACGGCAGCAGAGGTTGAATGGAGAGGGGTGTGAAGACTCTCAGATGCGCATGCACAGGCAGCCACTTTGCCAAGTGGTAGTGCACAGACAGTTCACATAGACCCGACAAGCACACACACACACAGTACACACACAGTACACACACGCACACGCACACGCACACGCACAGTACACACACGCGCACACACACAGTACACACACGCACACACACACAGTACACACACGCACACGCACACGCACACACGCACACAGAATCACAGTCACGTGCGCGTGTACGCACCGCATGCCGAGTTCGTATTCTGTTGCGGCTGCGAGGGTTGCGCTGGACTTTGCACAGGGCTCCGCCTCGCCCGTCAGGCTCGACTCCTCTATCAGCATATCTGTCGCCTACACACAAAGACAGACAGATAGATAGACACACACACACAGGTACACAGACACACACACACACACAGATGCACACACATGTGAAGATGGCGTAGGGATTGGTGACGTTGGTGGATGGTAAAGGCAACATGCGAGGTGCATGTGTTGCACGTTTGTTGCACACTCAAGAACAGCCATACTCGGGCGGGCAATGAGCATGGAGAGATGCGCGTGTGTTTGGTTCAGGGTGAGCACGTGCACACTACCTGGACAAGTCGCATATCGGCGGGAACGCGATCGCCCGTGCTGAGAAGAACAACATCGCCGGGCACTGGCATTGGGAAGTGGGCATGTGAGGGAACATGTAAGGCACACAGTGCAGCAGCAGAGCACGGCGCAATCGGCACACACACACATGGTCCTAGTGGAAACACGCATGTAAATTGGCACAAGCTGATACACACAGAGGAAGGTCATCACGAACCGAGGTCGTCTGCGCTGAGGAGTTTGTTCTGGCCATCCCGCAGGCAGTGGCAATGTTGGGGCACCTGCCAAGGTGACGGGTGCAAGGAACCAGGTATGAGGGTGGAGGTAAACCCGGCAAGTGCAGGTTAACTTCATGGTATCACACACACACACACACACACACACACAGACACAGACACACACACACACACACACACACAGACACAGACACACACACACACACACACACACACACACACACACACACACACACACACACAGGACACGCGCACACTGTCTCGTGCGTGGCTGGCTCGTACCATCTTTGTGAGCTTTTCGAGGGCCTGTTCACTCTTGTACTCCTGCACAAAGGCGACGGTGACGACAATCACGATGGCCTGCAGAGCACAATGGTGAGGTATGTGAGGTTTGCGGCGCAGGCATGGGCCAGTCACGGCAAGGTGCAATCACTCACGACATGGCGCAATCACGCAGCCATCCATCTCTGGGTTGCTTCCTCTCACCAGGGTGATGCTGAACGCATCATCGTACTGGCCCATCAACAAGCTGATGGCTGCGGATCCCAGCAGGAGCAGGTTGAGCGGCTCCTTGAACTGTGTGTGTGTGAGTGTTTGTGGTTGCGTGTGTGTACGTGTGTGTGTGTGTGCGTGGGTGTTTGTGTTTGTGGTGCATCCACACAGGGCATTGCAGGTGAGCGTACGTTTGAATGGCATGTGTAGCGAGGGTGGGGTGGGAGCCATACTCTATTTCATGAGAAAAAAGCAACTACGCATTATTTTCAGTACCTGTGCGAGGTATTGCTTCCATGAGCTTTCCTTGTCGGCTGCTTGGAGCACGTTCCTGCCACACACTTGGCGCCGACGTTCTGCCTCAGCGTCGCTCAGCCCATGCTTGGGGTCAACCTCGAGATGCGCCAGCACTGACGCTATCGGCTGGCGGCACGCGCGCTCGCTGCCCAACTCCAGCGACATGCCCCTCTTCTTCTTCTTCAACACAGCTGTGACTTTGCCAACGTCAGCTGTCTAGACCCTCGTGTTAATGCTGTCTGTCTTGTGGCGGCAGCTCGCTGGCTCGCTCTTGCTTGCTTGTTTTGCTTGCTTGTGGCGTGGGGTGCTGTGGCGAACGACGTGCGCCGTTGCTGCTTTGTGTGTGCAGAAGGTGCGCAGTTTGTGTGCTGCCGCGCTGAGGATGATGTGGGAGTTTTGCCAATTGCATGATGCGACCTGATGGTGCAATTGGCGAATTGCTGTTTGTTGACAAGAAAAGCGGAAGAGGACAGCGAGCAAGTAAGCAAGCAACAGGGAAGGATGCAGCAGCACAGCACCACCTTGCCGTGGTTCACGGTGGTGTATGGGTTGTTGGCGGCATGTGTTGCCCTGCCACCAGATGCCATCGTGCAGCTGGGCCTTCACATTGACGGCATTTGGAGGACATGGCTCGGCTCTGAGGTTTGTCGGGGTTCATGTGTCTGTTTTGTGTCTGTTGTGTGTGTGTGTGTGTCAGTTGTGTGTGTGTGTGTGTGTCGGTTGTTTGTGTGTGTGTGTGTCAGTTGTGTGTGTCAGTTGTTTGTGTGTGTCTGTGTGTGTTTGCTTCGTGTGGTGTACGAGCTTTGTGCTTTGTGCTTTGTGTACGCAATTCGTGCACGCGCATGTGTGTGTGTGTGCGCTCTTGGACGGTACCACGTCAAAGACATATGCACGCTCCTCCTCATGAGAAGTCAGTGGCTGACCTCGCCATGCTTTCTTCTTGTTCACTGCCAACGATGCAAAAGGGCTTGCACTTTGTCAACGATGCAAAAGGGCTTGCACTTTGTGGAGTATCACATGCGCCGCACCATCGCCACGCTCATCACACACGGCGTTCTGGTGCTCATCTACGCCCTTGGCGTCTGGCGCATCGAGCGTGCATCTCGCCCATGGGAGGTGTGTGTATGTGTGTTCATATGTGTGTGTGCGTATGTGCATGGGTGTGTTTTGTGTGTGTGTGTGTGTGTGTGTGTGTGTGTGTGTGTGTGTGTGTGTGTGTGTGTTGTGGGTGGGTTGTGCATGGGTGTGTTTTGTGGGTGGGTTGTGTATGGATGGGTGTGTGTGTGTGCATGGGGGGTTGTGTATGGATGTGTGTGTGTGTGTGTGCATGGGTGTGTTTTGTGGGTGGGTTGTGTATGTATGTGTGCATGTGTGCACATCTCGCAATGGGAGGTGTGCGTGTGTGCGCAGCTGTGAATAGGAGAGCGCTGGTGGTGCGCATTTTGGGTGGCCGTTCAACGAAGCAACAGGCCTGCCAGATCGCATTCCAGCTTGTCTTGCTGGAGCACCCACGAAAAACAACAAGCCTCGCATTCCAGTTTGTCTTTGCTGAGAGCACCACACTCTCACTTCTCTCGCACGCATGCACACTCACATATCTTTTCACAGAGAGCATGACACATGCGAGAGAGAGAGGTGTTGTCTGCACTTACCCTCACCCTCCTGCATCGACACACGGTGCTGTGTGGGACTGGCCGCAGCTTAGTCGTGGTGAGTCGTGTGTGTGTGTGTGTGTGTGTGTGTGTGTGTGTGTGTGTGTGTGTGTGTGTGTGTGTGTGTGTGTGTGTGTGTGTGTGTGTGTGTGTGTGTGTGTGTGTGTGTGTGTTGTGTGCAACGCACTCTCTTTTCAGCCTGACACGTTGTTGGCTCGTCGCTTGTGCTGTTGCAACCTGTACACCACAGGGATAAGCATCGATTTCACCCCACTCGCCGCACGTTGGCATGGTATCATCCAACAAACTGGGTGAGCTCACCTGTGTCAACGTACGCATGCACGCTCACATGAGACCGAATATACGCTTGTGTGTGTGTGTGTGTGCGTGCGTGCGTGCGCGCGCGCGCGTGCGTGCGTGTATGTGTGTGTGTGTGTGTGTGTGCGTGTGTGTATGTGCGTGGTGTTTTGGTCGCATCACCCTACTCGCCCTGCTCGCTCGGCCCTCATATCCATGATTTGCCACGCTTTGCCTCACTGCAACAACACTCCAACCTTCATATCAGGAGCGCGTGAAGCGGGCAATCACCGCCGAGTTCAGGCACATTGACAAAGTGTCTGTCACAACTGGGTTTAGTCGGGTGAGTGTGTGCGCTTGATGACTGTGCTTTGCCTGCTTGTTTCGCTGCCTGCCTGTTTGTTTGCCTGTCTGTCATTTGCTTTCCCGGTTTGATTTGCATGCTGTTCTCACCGATGCTCGCGCTTGTTCCCTGCCTCGCGTGTGCTCTTGCTTGACCCCAACTGCCGCCACCAGGTGACGGTGACGGATTCGTGGATCCTGCAAACCAACATCTACCTCCTCGACATCGCCCTGCAGTCAGACGTTGACCTCTCGTAAGCAACACACCTAAGATGAGACGAGCAAATGCCGTGTCGACACACACACACACACACACACACACGCACACACACACACACACATGCGCTTATCACAGCGCCGCTGCTGCACACTCAACATTTTCCCTCTACTTCACAATCCTCCTTCGTTTTGCTCACACACTCGCACACATGCACACACATGCAGGCTGGTGGCAACGCGTGACGTTCCCAAATTGAATTCCCTGGAGCGACGGCAGATGGTTCGCATCCGCGTCACATCGCTCAACCCTCACTGCCACACATTCGGTGCGTTTCTCGTTGCCTGCAAGCACTGATTGCCCAAACAACCATGCATGGGCTCATGTGTGTGTTCCTCTCCCTTCCTCTGTGCGCGTGTTTGATGCGTGTGACACAATGTATCGCTGTCAACCTGTACCACATCCACTGGGCTTTCGATAAAGTAACGATCGTTGCTCATTTTCGTCCCGCCGGCCTCTGCTGCAGACATGATTTTGGATGCAGAGCACTACCAGACACTCTCAGACAAGTTGTCCGCTCGCATTCGAAACTCGCGCAACCTCATCATTCGTCAATCTCTCAGGTTGCTGCGCAAGCCATAACACGGTTCACAAACACACACACACACACACACACACACACACACACACACACACATACACACACACACACACACACACACACGCACGCACACACACACACACACACGCACACACAATGACGGGATGGTGAAGAGTCACCTGGCTACTTTATGCGCCAGCCCACCATGTTCAGCTGCTTACCGCTACCACTGTCCTTACTCTGCGATTTGTGTTGTGCATCGACAGTGATCAGTTCCTGGCCATTTTCAGTCAGCGCGTGCAAGCCAATCCACGCTATGCTGGACGCCACAGCCAGGTGAGTGTGCGTGTGTGTGTGCTTGGGTGTGTGTATTTGTACGAATGCGTGCGTGCGTGCGTGTGTGTCGGTTTGAATGCTACTCTTCGCTCCCCCTTTTACGCTCACCTGCCACGCTCATCTGTGATTGTTGCCGTCGATGGCTCTCCAGCTTGAGGAGGATGATGTGTGCGTGGGGTGCAATCTGGCGCAACCAAACGTACGTTTGCACCCACGTGCACTGGTCGTCGCATTGAGAAGGACATTGCCATTGCTATGTCACAACACAACAAACCGCACACGTCAATCTCACTCACTCACGCACTCACACGCTCACATTCACACACGCACACACGCACACCACAGGTGAAGATTGTGCGGCGAACAGCGATAGAAGGCGCCGAGGGCGACTGCTTCTGCCGTCCCATGTTCTGCCTCGACTGCATTGGCAAGGTGCGCAGCCATGCGTGATGCACCTGCTCCCCCTTTCCCACGAACAACAACTTAAACAACAACAACACCTTAAACAACAACAACAACTTACACAACTTACACAACTTACACAACAACTTAAACAAACCACACACACACACACACTCACACACTCGTGCCCCATCACCTGCAACTGCGCTCTTGTGTGCGGTCCAGTGGTTTGTGAGCACACAGGACCAGCGGCGCCCAGAGACGTGGCTATCGGGAACGGCCAACTGCCCGACGTGCCGCACAGCGTTCACCGTCAATGACCTCTCCCTGGTTGATGCGCAGTGAACACGCGCCCAGGTGCACAATGCACGGCGCCAGGTTGCCCGGACTGCTGTGCGGTCCAAGAAACCGACAGAAAGGGAATGGTGGTTACAAGTGCGCGCGCGCGTGGGTGTCTGTCTGCCTGCGTGATTGCTCCACAGCATTCAGGCTGTCATTTGTAATGACGGGCATTTGTGAGACGAAAAGAACTACGAGTACGACGCAAGAAATGACGCGCAACTAAACGAGGACAAACACGACTTAGTACAGGGAAACACACGTACACAACCCATGCATGCATGTGACGCAATATGAAAGAGACAGAGAGAGAGAAAAAACGAGGACGAGCAGGGAGGTACGATTCATGGCACGTAAGTGGCAAAACGAGAACGGCAAATAATTCACTCAGCACACACACGCACACACACACACAACATCATACACAAACCACCACGGGTACACAGTCCCACGCAGCAACAGCTTTGGAAGTGGCACGAGCACCACCAGCTGCAGCATTGCGGTGAAGGGTGTGATGTTGACTAAAATCACTCGTGACCATACAAAGCTGAATAGCTCACGCTCACACAGATGTAAGGAAATAAGTCTGTTGGCGCGTGAGCGTGCATTCAATCAAGCTATCAAACAACAGAACAACGAAAGAACAAGGACTCGATGGTAGGACGGTAAATAAATCGTTTCAGTATCACAGAGACGCAGAAGCGCAAGGGAGAGGGCACTGGTAAAGACTGGCACAGACACAAGTGAAGACAGACATAATGATGATGAACCGCTCGAAAACACAACACACCGAACACACGATGTAAACACTGAGTACACATCCCTCTTCGTGCGCATCCCCGCACACATACATACACATGCACACGCACGCACAGGACACTGCTGCATGATGTTTCCTCTTCCGAAGAGCCACCCCACTCTTCCTTACTCCCATCGACCCATCCACTACATCTGCCGTGGAAACTCAAATCTGGTACCGTCGGCTCGCGTGCCCTCGCCATCACCATTGCCGTCGCCGTCGCCAGCGTGGGTGCCGGGCGTGGTGGGGTTGCTGCGGCTCAGGGCAAGCAGCAGCGGTGACTTTGGCGTTGACGCTGCTTGCGACTGCGTTGGCGGGGGTGGTGTCTTGGTCGTGGCTTTCATCGCGGCTGCAGCAGGGGAAGGCCTCAAGGGGCGACCAATCAGGCCGGCAGTGGTGGCGGCGCGGGGCCGGGTGTGCGGGTTGCTGGCGGGGCTGCAAGGGCCACTGGTTGACACAGCGGATGTGGGCTTGCTGGGTGACGAGGAAGGCGACGTGGGCAGCGTCACTGCATTCTTCAGCCGGCTGCAGAGCGTGGTGATGTGACAAGCAAGGAGGTGTGGGCATGACGAGTTGGTACACAGTGAGCGTGTGAATGCGTCATGCGTGAGCAATGAGGCTGGTGGTGGTGGTGGGCTTCTTTTTGTTTGAACCTGAACCAAGAACTCCAGGGAACGCGCCTGTTTGATGCACATGCACACACACACACACACACACACACACACACACACACACACACACACACACACACACACACACACACACACACACACACACACACACACACGCATGTACATATATTCACTCACACATACATGCACGCACACACATCACACACCATACACATACACATGTCACACACACATCACACACCATACACAAACACACATCACACACAATACGCAAACACACACCACACACACACACATGTCACACACACACGCACACGTATATTCAACACCTGCGCGAATAACAAAACCGCACCTGGATTGCTTAAGCGGTGACGGGCTGATGGAGCGCGGGCGACCAGGGGCGGGTGCGCCAATGGGGTTGAACGTGCCACCAAGGGGACTGCGGTGCCGGACACGCGGGCGAGACTTGGAATCAAGCGACTGGCTGCGCGCTCGCATGTCTTGTGTGTCAATCCATCCATCACGGTTGGCGGCAAAGAATCGGTGTGAGATTGAGACGAGTGACAGGTAATGTGCGCACAATGTCATGGCATATGACCTACAGACGGGCGTGCATGCATCAGGCAAAACGACGGGCCTATCTTGCCTGCAAGCAAGAAATGCAGTGCAGTGCAAGCAATGAAACCACAAAAGGATGACGGCATAAGTACCAGGGTTTGGTCGAAGCAGGTTGGTGTCCGATCCAACGCCGCGGTGCCCGATGCCGGGTGGTCCGGGGTGGCGTCCGTGTGGACCCATGCCCATGTTGGCCCTCGCGCCAGCGCGGTGACCAGCAAGGTTGAGTCCACCCAGCTGCCGTTGCCGGGCCTCCTCCTCCTCCTCTGCTTGCTTCTGCGCACGCTCTTCCTCTTCCTCGCTTGCCTCGGGGATGGCTGCGAGCGCGTCCGTACAGCGCATGGCTGGTGGCTCCGACTGCGACCGGCGGCGCGCCTTGGGCTCGTGCTCCTGAAAGCAAGCAAGCCAGCAACAGGGGCACCACGAGGAGTGGCAGCAGCAGGGGTAAAGGTGTGCGGGTGAGTGAGGGCAGCGGCGAGAAGCACTCATCAACAGCCAGCCATTGCTCGCTTGGTTGCTTGCAGGCACAGGGTTGAGGTGAAATTGTTGCGAGCAAGCAAGGAAGCAATTATTGGCAATGGCTTTCTGGGGGGATTTCAGAACAGCAGGTGGATCAGATGCACACACACACACACACACACACACACACACACACACACACACACACACACACACACACGCACACGCACACACACACACACACACACACACACGCACGCACGCACGCACACACGCACACACACATACACACACACACACACCACCATCACACACACCATCACACACAGCGAGTGTCGTACCGTCGGTGCGCGGCGGTTAAACCAGGGCGCACTGGAGAACGCGCTGGGTGCACGCACAGCGCGCCTGCGGGGGGAACGGCCCTCTCGTTGTGGCGACGGTGAGCTAATGGTGAGAGGAGAGAGCGTGTCTGCAATTTCATCGGCTTCCTCGCTGTCCCGCGCCTTGTCTGCACGGCCGCCCTGGCCTGGCTCTTGGTCTTGTTCCTGCGGCTCTTGCTGGCTTTGTTGGTGTGTGGGCTCATCGCCACCCAGCAGGCGCAACAGGCTTTCCTTCGAGCCCTTGCGAGCAGGCACCTTGTCGTGCTTCGATGGCGCTTGCTCCTGGGACATGGACGGGGACGGTTCGAGCGTGTTTGCCTCCTTTGCTGCTGTGTGCAGCATGGCAGCGTTGTCGCCTTCCTTGGTGGGGTTGGATGCGGTGTTCATCATGTGGGTGAGGGGGCTGCTGGTGCTGTTGTTGGAGCCGTTGTATGTCAAGAAGCTTCCGCGGTTGCTTGCTGTGGTGCTGCTTGATGTGCTTGTGCACACGGACGAGTTGGCGGAAGATGTCCAGCCGCTACTTGAGCTTGTGTTCGTGGTTGTGGCGGTGCTTGAGCTACTGGTGCTGGCGTTCGAGTCACCGCGGGCTCTGGTTTGGCTCAGGAATGGCGGGCGCAGCACAGGGCGTTGGGCGGCTGGTGTGGGGAAGGAAATCTCGTTGGCAGGTGCTTTCCTCCCTTGTCGGTACCTTTTGACGTGTGATGTGGATTGGTGGTAATGGTGATGATAGGGCATGCACCAAGCGCGCCGTGTGATGAGTAAAGCTGGTACACGCAAACCAGGTCACATCACACGAACAAGCAAACAAGCAAGAGCTTGGTCCTCTTCTGTGTGAGGAAGGGATTGAAAAGACGCTGACGTGTGTAGTGTCGTGCGTGTTCTTGTGTGTGTGTGTGTGTGTGTTGTGTGCGTGTGCGTGTGTATGCACAGTTGGTAGCACGCTGGTGTGTGTTGGATTTCCGAGTGCTGTGGCGTGGGAGGCACGCATTCTTGAGTGCTGTGGTGCGTGGATTTGATTGGATCGTTTCGTGGAAGGCTGACGGCCCGCAGGATTGCATGCATGAGTTGTGAATGCTTACATGGCAGAGTTTGGCGTTCCGGATGACGACAGCTTTGATTTGGGGCGGCAGCACGGCGGAGAAGGCGAGGGGGCGGGTTGATGATTGAACAGCGGAGGCAGCCACCCAGATTGACCGTGTTTGGTCGCGGTTGGTGGTGGATCCATTTGAAAGAGCGGGAATGGTGGTGTGTGCCGCGGCGGAACAGCAACAGCAAGCCGGGAGAGGAGAGGGGGAAGGGGGGGGGGAGGAAACCGATCAAGAAAGGAGGAGGCAAGCGAGGCACGGTGAGCGAGGTTGTTAATGCTGCCATGCAATGCAAACAAATCACTTGACAGGGGAAGAAGGGGACAAACGCAAGCCGTTCTTTGTGGTTGGTTGGATGGTTGGATGGTGTTTGAGGTGCGGGCGGACGGACGAATGCACAACGCAGGTGCAAGCAAGCGCCAACAACAGAACAACACAGAACACAGACAATGCGGAGAGGGGTGGTTCCCCGACCAATGGTGATCACACATGCAATGCACCACCAAAACACGCACCCATCACATTTGGTGGGGTACGTGTTTGGTTTGGTTGCTTGGTTTGCTTGGTGATTCTTTGGTTGTTCTTTGTTGTGCATGTTTGTGGGTGCACCTCGCAGCCCCCACCCCCCTCCTTCCCTAGCTCAGGTTCAAGGCGGAGGTTTCAACACACGAGCACATCCACATGTATCTCTACACACGGCACGGCAGCAACGAACCTCCATCTGCGTTGAAGGAGGCAGGCACAGCGGTCGGTGCGGCGGTTGGGCGTGTGTTCAGTTGAGGGAGTGCTGGGTCAATAAGGGCTGCTGCTGGCTGCTGCGATCAACAAGAGAAATGGCTGGTTCGTGCTGACTGCGTGTCGCAAGTGATGAAGCTGACCAAAAATCAAAAAGGTGGGGTGGGGTGGGTGGAAGGGCAACAACAGGCACAGCAGAAGGGGCCGAGCACCAAGAAAAGCCACGTAAATGTGAGCCAACACAACAGACAGACGGTCTGGCCTGCAACCACAACAACAAGCAAACAACCACGCCTTCCTTGCTTCCTTTTGCTTGCTTGTTGCTTGTTGGCTCTCACAAACGACAAACACCAAGCAAGCAAGCTAGCAACACAAAACCAAACAAAACAACCAGCTGCCCCTCCCATCTATGCCGACCTCTTTTAAACAGGCAGCGCAACCTGCCTGCCTTTGGGTTCGGAGGAATGCGTTGCGGGCCAAGGGGTTGGCATCGATCCGTCAGCGTGCACATTCACCTATGCAGCATTGGTTGTGCCTTCACCCAACACCAACTCCAAAAAACAAAACAAACAAAGGCACCAACCAACCAACAACAAACCAAACCAAAACGAATCCCCCAACAACAGAACAACGGCAAGCAAGAGCAAGAAAAGGAAAATCGTGAGGCAAGAATAGGAATTGGGTCTTCGTTGTTGGAAATCCACCAATGCCGTCGCGATGGCACACCCAACCCGCAACAACGTGCGACACGCAACGGAACGGTGGCGAAGGATGGTCCGAATGGCATCATGCAGCACTGCAGCAGCTGTTGGTTGCCGTTAGGCTGAAACGCGTGAACGTGAACTGCGGGGACATTAGATGGATTCGAGTCTGCGAATGGTGGTGCAAAACATGGGATTCACTTCCATGACCCGCCTATGTCGAATATTGTATCAACATATTCAAAAATTCTCGTTCTCATGCCAACGAACGGCCGCACACAACCCTGCACGCCACATGCAAAATGCGAGTATGGGGTGCGAACACAACCAAACACAACAAATTCGGACAAGCAAGCAAAGGAAGAAAACACAGCAGGAAAACAGGACAGCAGGAAAACAGGAGGAAAGGAAAAAAGTGGGGAAGAAACACACGAACACACACACATACACACACACACACACACACACACACAGGCACACACACATACCCACACATACACACCCACACACACACATCAATCAGCCTTGCGATACACGCAGAGAATGTCGCCACCCGTGGACACCTCCTTGCCCTGTTTGTGTTCGCTGCTGTCGGTGCCGTCGCCCTGTTGTTGACGTGCAGCGGCAGCAAACGTCTCCACGCGCACAAGCGAGTAGGTGCGCGCGTGTGCCATGGTGGATGCCAGCTCGTCAGGGAGCCAGGGCACAGCTGTGCCGCCAAGCAGCTTCGGCCCCACAAACACCGCAAGCTGGTCGCCCAACCCCTGCTGCACAAACGACGAGTGCACCTGCGCGCCGCCTTCCACAAGCACTTGCAGCACACCGCGCTTGGCCAAGTCGCGCAGCACCTGCATCAGATCCAGCAGCACTGGCGCCGCAGCGTCACCGCCAACACGAGTGTCAACGCCCCTACAAGCGCCAGCGTAACCACTGGCACAAGCTGTGTCAACGACCACAGCCTCCACCCCATGCGCGGCCCAGGTCTTGAGCGCCTGTGCAGAGCAGTCGCGGCTCGTGTACACAATGGTGGGCGCAATGGACGTGTCAAGGAGGCGGCCCTCGAACAAGCGGCCCCTTGCATCCAGCACCACCCGTACAAGCGGCATCCCCCTTCCGAAGTGTGCACCCGCGCCAGCGACAGTCACGGGCGACGGTGAAGCTGCATGCATGGCAGGTGCAAACGCAGCGCGCTCTCCGGGCGGGAGCGAGGCCAGCGCAAGCCTCACATTGAGAGTTGGGTTGTCGGCAAGCGCCGTGCCGATGCCACACAACACCGCCTGCGACTCCGCCCGCATCTTGTGTGCGCGCGCGCGAGCGAGCGGCCCCGTAATCCACTTGGAGGTGGCGTCCTTGCACGCCACGCGCCCGTCGATGCTGATCGCAGTCTTGATGACGCACAAGGGTCGGCCCGTGCGCCGCTGGTGTAGGTACGGCGCCAAGAGCGCCTCCGCCTCCGCCCCACACACGCCCGTGGCAACCTCTACGCCACGCGAGCGCAGAAACGCCAGCCCACGCGCAGACACCCGCTCGTCGGGATCCGTGACCGCAATCACCGTGCGTGCAACGCCGGCCTGCACAAGGGCTTGGTCGCATGGGCCCGTGCGCCCCTGGTGGTGGCAGGGCTCCAGCGTGACGTACGCCGTGGCGCCAGCTAGTACAGCTCGCACCGCTTCCACCACACCCGTAGCAGTGGTCAACGTGCATGCGCTTGGGGTCTTCGCAGTGGTGGACTTGGCCTCACTCGCAGCACGCTTGCTCTTGCCCCGCTGCAGCAGTCTGTGCGTCTGGGCGGCAGCCGTGTTGGCAAAGGCCGCAAACGGCGTGTCAGCGAGAGCAGCAGCGGCGCCACCGTGCTCCATGATGTCGATGCCTGCACGCAGCACGGCGTCGGCCATGGCCTCAATCTCGGCATGCGGCATGCCAGCGCGCCGGTGGTAGCCCTCGCCGATGACGTGGCCGTCGCGAACAAGCACGCAGCCAACCCAAGGGTTTGGCGGCGCGCTCACACGGCCCAGCCGCGCCAGGGACAGCGCGCGCCGCATGAACAGCTCGTCAACGGCCGCTGGCACTTGCGTCGCGTTTGCTTGCAGGCAATCCAGGACATGTGGCGGCAGCTCCAATGCCGGCGATGACGCGAGCAACCCCTTGCTGCTGCCGCTGGTGGTGGTGGTGGTGGTGGTGGTGGTGGTGTCGATGCTGCTCGTGGTAACGTTGTTGGCGTTGGAGAAGCAGCTTGCGTTGGTGACTGCGCTGGACACTGTCACTGCAACGCCGCTGACATCACCGCCAATCGATGCAACGGGTGTGCTTGCTGGCGTGGGGGACGAAGCGTTGGTGTTGGGAGATGCTGTAGAGCCGCGGCTGCTATCGTGCAGATGGTCCTCGTCAACCACACATCTGTTGCCGCTGCTATTGTTGTTGTTGTTGTTGCTGCTGCTGCTGCCGTCATTGTTGCGTGTGTCTTTGCAGTTGTCGTCTGCGACAATGGCCGCAAGGTCCCCAGCGCTGCCACCAACGACTGTACTGCGCAAAGCAGTGGCAATCTCTTGCTCGCGCTTGTGCTTTGCCAGCACGTACGCGGCGCTGGTCAGAGACGGCGCGAGCCGCAGCTGTTTGACGTGTGACACACGCACGCGAGCCAGGGCGGTGGGCTTGAGTGGGTTGTTGGTAAGCAGGCACACGCTGGCTGGGCGGAGGCTGTGCAGAATTGCGTCGGCAATCTCGTACGTGCGCAGATCCGACGGAAATCCAAGCGACTCGTTCGCCTGAAACGCAGCAAATGGCATGTGTGTGTATGTCAATGGGTGAGTGAGTGTGTGTGTGTGTTGAGACATGAGCATCGAAGATCCCCACATCGTCGACGAAACTATCATCTCCGTAGCGTACACGCACACACACACCTACACACCCACCCACACCCACCCACACCCACCCACACCCACCCACCCACACACACACACACACACACACACACACACACACACACACACACACACACACACACACACACACACACACACACACACACACACACACACACACACACACACACAACCGCTCTCATGTCAGACAGGGCACAGTAGATGCATACCTGGTACGTGTCGAGGCGATGTTGCTGCTGCTGGGCGTAGGCCTTGATCTTGTTGCCAAGACCAATGCCGCGACCTTCGTGCCCACGCATGTAAACCAGCACCCCACACCCAGCAGTATCGATCTGTGCAAGTGCCGCCTGCAGTTGGGGCCCACAGTCGCAGCGCAGGCTGTGGAACACGTCGCCTGTCAAGCACACCGAGTGCACACGTGTCAAGACGTCCCTTAACAATGACAATGGGCGTGTGCGTTCATGCATGCACGCACGTGGGGTGGGAGGGGGTGGGTTAGATACGAATGGGAAAAAGATTATGTGGGTGTGCGTTGTTGAGCTCATGAGCGAAAAAGACATTGAAGGAAGCAATGCACCACGCAAAGCAGGAAATGTGAAGAGAGAGTGTGTGTATGTGTGTGCATATGTGTGTGTGTGCATGTGTGCGATGGGGGCAGACAGACGCACACATACACACACGTACACGTACACGTACACACACACACACAAGCACAGCGCACATGTGGGTTGCTTACGGCTTGTTGGCGATGTCGCCTTTGACAAGAGCAACGTGTTCAAGGTCTGTGCCCACTTCTCGGTACACCTGTGTCGTGTGCATTGAAGAGAGAATCGTCGTACCGCACAATCAGTTGCGAGAACAAATAAAGGGAAGCAAAATGGCAGAGCAAACCCGAGCTTCAAATGCAGCAACCAAACCGCAACACACACACACACGCACACACACACACACACACACACACACACGCGCGCGCACACACACACACACACACACACACACGAGTGCATGTACGCACTTTGCATGTGAACTGCGAGGCAGTTGCGTGTGCATCATGCGATGTCGTGTCTGGCGCCACGACGGCTGCAGACAAGTCCAGCGGTAGCTCACACTCTGCCACAAGCTGTTGCATGCAACGCAATGGAAAAGCATGGCACTGAGAACGCCGAGATGGGATACGCAGGATTGTGTGGGCTGGCCCACGCATGTACATGTACGCATGAATCACGACCACGCTTTCTCGCACACACATTTTCACGCATACACACACACACACACACACACACACACACCTTGACGAGGACGGAGTCTGGAAGGTTGGTGTTGAGAGCAGTGTGGCCAGGCTCCTGCTTCTCCGTAGCCTCCTCATATTGGCGCTGTTGCTGCTGGTCACGCACGTACACCTGAAGGTCGGCGATGGTGATGATGGGGAGGTCGTGGGTGCTTGCAAACTGCCTGCAGGCATCGAAGCGCATCATGTCACCACATGGGTGCATGAGCTCTGCGATGACTGCCGCCGGTTGCAGCCCTGCCAAGCGGCACAGATCCACCGATGCCTCTGTGTGGCCGTTGCGCACGAGCACGCCACCATCGCGTGCGACGAGCGGGAAGAGGTGCCCGGGTCGTGAGAACGAGGCTGGGGTAGCGGAGGCGCTGGTGAGCGCGCGGGCCGTCAGGGCCCTGTCCCCAGCAGATGCGCCAGTCGTTGTTCCCTCCAGTACGTCGATGGACACGGTGAATGCGGTGCTGTTGCGGTCCGTATTGGTTGTCACCATCGGCGCCAGGTCAAGCTCCCGCGCCCTATCGTGGTGTTTTATTAAGGGGGCAGGGATGTTTTGATACGTGGGTGTGTATGTTTGAGCGTGTGTGTATGTGTGTGTATGTGCGTTTCAGCGTGTGTGTATGTGCATGTGCGTTTCAGCGTGTGTGTGTGTGTGTATGTGCGTGTGTGTGTGTGTGTGTGTGTGTGTGTGTGTGTGTGTGTGTGTGCGTGTGCGCGTGCCAGTGAGAGTGCGCTACGCGGTGTTTCCCAACCGGAAAGCGTACGTGGAGTCGTTTGAGTGCATGCACCAATCTCTCTCTCTCTCTCTCTCGCACACACACACACACATACACACACCTCTGCTCGGTGATGGGAGCGCAGAGGAGGCCTGACGAATGACGGCACATGAACGCCAGTGACTCCTTGGTGGCAAACTCGGCTGCCACCACCAAATCTCCCTAGCATTGCGGAGAAGAAGAGGGAGGAGAAAGAGGAGGACAACGAATGTGAAATGTAAGAACACCAGAAGAGAAGAGCACGCGTGTGTGTTTGTGTGTGTGCGTGTTTGTGTGTGTGTGTGTGTGCGTGCGCGTGTGCGTGTGTATACGTGTGCGCGTGTGTGTGCGTTGTACAGAGCAAACGCAAGCAACACCCCTCCCACATACACACACACACACACACACACATACACACACACACACACCAAAAGCACAGTTCACACGACATGCCTCATTCTCGCGGTCAAGGTCGTCCATCACCACGACGGGCTTTCCCTGCCGCAGCGCTGCCAGCGCTTCCGTGATGGTGTTGCAGCAGCTTGCATCCCTATCCGTGTGCGCCTCCATCTTTCTTTTGTTTGCGTCTTCACTTCTTCCTTAGTTCGCGCTGTGTCAAGTCTCAAACGTGTCGCGAAATGACGCCAGTTAGTCAAGTCAGGCAGACGAAGGAAGGAAGGAAGCACTGCCGGCATGTCGCTGTGTTGCAGCCAACAAGTCCTTCCAACCACTGCTGCAAGTCATTTTTGACTTTGTCAAAGGGCAAACCTGCCGTTGTTGCGGAACACACCAACAACCAAACACCACGCCACCACGCCACAACAACAACAATCACACACACACACGATGGCGGACGCACCATCACCACCACCACCAACATCATCACCACTATCACCACCGCGCCAACACCACCCCACCTCCCGCCCCCGTGATCGTCATGACCGCCCTCACCACACAGACCATTACCACGCAGACCATCACCACCATCAGCGACGCCGCAGCAGCTACGAGCAGCCTCACCATGCGCACGCAGGGTCACTATCAGCACCTCGCCACTCGCGCTCAAGCTCGCGTTCGCCGTCACGACGAAGGAGAGCACATTCTCAGCGACGTTCCGCATCGGACACGACAGCACGGCACCGGCCTTCCTCTCACAGCAGGTCTCCCTCTCGTCAAGCACCGCACAAGCGACACCACCAGGACGACACAGAGCACCCACACCAGGCCTCATCACACCCACAACACACGACACCGCGTGCACGGGGCGATGCACATGTCGTGCAGTCAGCCAGCAGGCGCAGCTCACACCGCAACACGACGCCGTCGCATCGGCACCACGTGCCCACGCCGCGCGCCCGCGCCTCAGCGACTGACAAGGACGCCACTGCTGCCGCATCTCGGGAGCAGCAAGAACACCGCGATCAACATTACCACCACCAACACCAGTCCTCAGCGTCTATGGACTCCAGCGCAACGCCCACACGGGGTGCAGGTGGCAAGCAGCGACGCTCGTCAGCAGCACGCCACGCCACAAGCACTCGTGCTCAAGCGCAGTATTCAACCGGCAAAGAGAAGCTGCGTGAAGACAGCCCTGCGGTGAGAGACAGGGCACCATCTCTGCGACAGGCACCAACCGGCGTGAAGCACCGCCTTGGCAATCCCCACAGCGCTGCCAGCTCTATGAAGAGGGGTGGCGCACACCCACCCAACCAAGCACACCACGCACACCAGGAGCGGGCACACGGAGTCAAGGCACGTATGGAGCAAACACACCCCACAGGCAACAACACCCACGGCAGCAGAGACAAGCGTCGCCGTTTCACTACTGATGCTGCTGCGGATGCTGCCAAGGCTGCAAGTTCCAAGGACGGTGTTGGTGGTGGTGGCAGTCGCAGCCATCGCATCGCTGGTGACAGTGACGATCATGGTGGTGACGGTGACGATCATGATGGTGACGGAGCGACGCGCCAACACAGCCGCCGGCAGCGAGTACGCCATCGCCGCTCGACGCTGCGCGAGGTTGCAAGGACGCGGGGCGCGGGGCGTGACGCCGAACATGCCATTGGAAAGGGCAGGGGCGATCAGCACACTCGTGCCGACGACAAAGGGCCGCCTGTCCAGGCTGCGTCGCCGCCCACCAGCAAAGCCCCAACACTCGTGTATTCAGACAAGGCGGAAACCAACTGGCCACCAAGCTCCGCACAGGTGCAGCGAAGGCGCAGTGTGTTTGCCCGCCTCAGCACACAGCAGCAACACCGAGCAGACGCTGCCAGAGCGTCCAATGCAGACACAATAAGCGAGCAATCGGTCTCACCCGCATCGGCGCCGCCAATCACCGCTGCGGGTGCACCCTCGAGGCCATCACCCACACGAGCATCACCACCTCCATCCTGCCATGATGACGAACCGGCAGCGACGCACGCAGCCGACAGCCAGGTTCACTCCCACAGTCACCGACGCTCGCTGTCCTCGCCACCATCGCCATCAGCGTCATCAGTGTCATTGAGGACGGGTCAAAGGCCGCGCAGGCGCCAACAGACAGCGCAACATGCGCAAGCCACAGGCGCGGGCGTGATGCAGGGGCGTGTTGGCAGCGGCAGTGACCAGGGACACACGGCCGCCCCTCGCCCGCGTCAAGGAAAGACGAGGGAGAAACACAGGAGGCGGAAGGAAACAGAAGTAGAAGAAGGTGAAGCAGCAGCAGCAGAATCGGGCACATTGTCATCGCGCCCTGCTGTTGCTTGCCGCGAAGACCATCAGTACGGCGGTGGTGAGGACTCTGGTACCATGGGGCGCCGGCATCGCCAACAACGTGCCGAGAGAGCACGTGCTCATCACATCTCTGACATCGGCATGTCGGATGACATCGAGCAGGACGGTGGGGACGCGCCCACACACTTTGACACCGACGATGAGCCAGGACGCACCCATGGTCACGGCCATCACGACCACAACAATGACGATGACAAAGTTTATGCTGATCCCAATGACGACGGCGCTGATGGCAGCGACCGTATTGATGAAAGCTATGAGGGCAGTGGCCATTGTGACGACGATGACGGGTCTCAAGTGGAGGACAGCCAGCCGCCGGTATGGGCGCGGGACAGCCGTGCCGGTGATGGCAGTGATGATGGCCACGGTCGTGAGGCGCTTGCTGGCAAACCGGTGGTGACACAGCGTCATGTGGTGGCTGCGGGACGAGTCGGAGGCATTGAGGACAGCGGCAATGTGGACAACAGGGCCAGTCGCCCACTCTACGACCGTCTGTCTGAAGAGGGTCACGGCGCATCGCAGGACCAAACCCTGATTCGAGAGGATCTACGCCACCTTATTGCCAAACGCCGGCAGTTACGCCAGCGGACAGGCAACGAAGCCGAAGCTGGAGGCGTTACTGCTACTACTACTACTACTACTACTAATACTACTACTGCTGCTGCTGCTGCTGCTGCTGCTGCTGCTGCTGCTGCTGTCGCTGTGTGCGGCAGTGACGATGGCAGCACTGACGACAGCGACCTGCGCCAAGCCTTGCGTTCCCACACGCGCGTGCGCAGCAGGATTGCGGCCCGAGTTGAACTCGGCATCAAGGAAGAGGAAGGGGAAGAGAACAACCAGGATCACCACGTGATGGACTACCAGTCGTCCACTCTGCCGCGGGCAGGGCGTGCTCACCAACGCCTCGACCACCACCATCATTATGAACACCGTGATCGTCGTCGTCGTGCCGACCCTCATGGTGCTGATGATGACGACCACGGCCATGAAGATGATGATGGTGTTGGGAGGGACGGGCAGCGGAGCAATCGTCGCCAGCGCACGGCTTCCCGCCCAATCCATACCCGCCTTGGCATGCATGTGGACAGTAGCGGTAGTGGTATCCCTGGCAACGTGCGCCATCGGCTATCTACTGGCGCGAACGAGCACGGGCACAAGCCCATCGCACCGACGTCACCCTCGCGTTCAAGGCGCAGTCGCTCGCGCCACAGCGTGGATGACACACAGGGCAGCGGCAGTGGTGGCAGCAGTGTCAGTGATCGGCACAGCAGGCCCGGCACGAGAGGCAGTTCAAGCAGGCGTGCTCACCATGATGCCCACACTCGTTACGTGCGCCAGCAACGCGATGATAATGACGACAGCGACGACCGCCACCGCCACCGCCACCGCCACCATCATCATGATCGTGACCAGGGTCGATCCCATCATAACACCGGCACGTCAACAGCGTCTGCAGCGCGAAGGGATGCCAGGAGCGGCAGTCGCGGCGTGCCTACAAGACGGTCCGTCGCACCGTCACGCACGCATTCGCAGTCTCCCCCGCACCCCAACACCAAGCGCGCCAAGGTGACTGTAGAGCTGGATGGGCAGGCACTGGACGTGTCAACGATTGCGTCTGACCCGCGCCACGCCATGGCTGAAGCGCTGTGGGGGGCGCGCGCGGACGAGCAAGCAGGACATGTGAAGGACGAGCCAACGGTGGACGGAGCAAGGGAGCCCCAAGGCAACCGCACCACTTCAACGGTGCGCAACCATGAGACACAAGCACACCAGCGCGCGCAGCACCTCGCGGCCTCGCTCAAGGAGGAGGAGGAGGAGGACGTGTTTGCAGAGGTAGACGGCGGCGAGCGCACGCCGCTGCTAAGCCCGACAGTGCCTGAGGGACAGCAGTCAGAGACAGGTCGCGCCAAGGCCATGCAGGCCGCAGAGGCCACAGGGACGCCAGTGGTCCTGGATCATGAGGCGCTTTCCATGGGTGTGAAAGAGATGACACCTGGCGAAGTGTTGTCCGCGCTCAGTGAGCTACACGAGACACCGCTACCACGCGCACCACACACGTTACTGGCTGATGACAGCGAGAGGCGTCAGCGTGCGCTTCAGCCAGCTGGGCTAGTCGTTGATGTGCAGACAAAGCAGTCAGGCAAACACCAGCGCCGTCACCGGCACTTCAGCCACAGCGCGGTTGTTGACAAGACCATTTTGCAGGCGGACCACCTGCACACGTCGACGGCTGTCCTGGCCCTGATGGCGCCCTGCGGCCGAGCGAACGACAGTGGCCGAAAGCGCAAACAGAAGAGCAAAAGGAAGAAGACAAAGGCCAGAGACAAGGCGTGGTGGTAGGGGAGTGGCTTGTGTGGGCGATGTGTGGCACTGGCTTGCATCTTCTTGCTGCCAAAGTGTTTGTTCGCCCCACGAGACCACGCACGACTCCAAGACAGCTGTCTTCATGATGTGACAACATCGCGTATGTCGTGTTTGTTTGTTTGGCACGACGTGACGTGCGATTGGTTTCGATCAAAATACAGAACATGATGAGTCATCAATGGATGCGAGCAAAGCAAAATCGGATGAGCAATCAGTTTCTTGTTTGTTTGCATTGCTTGCACACACCATCAACATCAACCACCTTGTTCTCTCTCTTGCTTGCTTGCTTGCCCATCCATCCCGTTCATCAACCCACCCTCCCTGATCAGCTGATCAGCGCCGTCAGCCATGTCTTCCGAGAAGGCCAAGCAACCACCAACTCGCCCGCCCCCACCTGGTGAGTTGGGACTGGGGATTGTGTGTGTGTGTGCGTGTCTGTGTGTCTGTGTGTCTGTGTGTGTGTGTGTGTGTGTGTGTGTGTGTGTGTGTGTGTGTGTGTGTGTGTGTGTGTGTGTGTGTGTGTGTGTGTGTGTGTGTGTGTCTGTCTGTCTGTCTGTTTGTGTCTCGCTCTCTGTCCATCTGCCTATGCGTCTCTTCCCTCCCCTCCCCTTTACTGCTCACCACTCACGTGCGCGGTTTGTTTCAGCTGGGCACGCGACAACGACGCCGTCATCGCCTTATCCTCCTCAGGCACCGCCACAGCAGGCGCCACCGCCTTCATACGCTCGTGAGTCTTCTCAGTGCATGCACGCGGTTGTATCCGCAGAAGAATTCTGCCTCTTTCATCATGAAGACAACACGCACACATGCGCATGCAAGCATGTATACATACACAAACACACACTCACTCACACACGCACGCACTCACGCACTCACACACGCACTCACACACGCACACACACACACACTCACACACACACACTCACACACTCACACACACACACACACACTCACTCTCTCTCCGTTATGCACGCTCTCTCATGCACACCTTCCTCGGTTCTGTGCTTGCTTGATAGCGCCAGCAGGACCCTATGGCCCCGCAGCAGTGCAGCCGAGCGGCCCCGCTGGTGTGCACATCACGTACACGGGCGCAAGCCAATTCCCGCCCCTGCCGCGCGAAGCAGGCGTCGTTGAGCATGCGCTGCGGCAGCAAGGCCCTTCCCTACAGGCCCGCGCTGACAAAGCCCTTGGGCAGCACGTCCCTCTCGTGGTCAAC